TTGATGCATTCTTCTCAAAGAAGAAAATACAAAAATAAAAAATTTAAGACATTTTTGACATTAAAAGTGATTTTAAATAATGCAACGTTACGAGGTACTAAAAAAAGATTAGAATAAATACGAAATTCCAAATATTATTAAGAGTTATTACTATTATATTTTATCTTAAGGAAGAGTACCTACATTATTTCCATTTTTCAATGGGTCCCCGCACATCGGCCCCGATGCACCAAGTAGTCGGCGCCCATGGTCAATTCACCGTTTTTTCTACGTCCGGTAAAAGTTTAGTTTAAATTTCTGGTCAAAATAAAGTTTCCAATACTGAATAAAATAGGGACAGATCTGACATTTCGCATTCTTTATTTTTTTTTATAAAGTCGTAATGTTGCCAACTTAACTTTAATAACCCACAGGATGTAATGTTCAGAAATTTAATTGAAAGCAAATGACAATAATTTTTTTCAATTTTTTTATTAAAAAAACTGTCTTATTACCTGACATCTTCAAATCAATACTACCAACCACCGTTTGGAATCCTACCGCTTGTTTGTAAATACTCGCAATGTTATCGCTTCGTCAATCGCCCCATTGGCGCCCCTAATGAATGTTATGACATTCCCCACCCCGCAGTTATGATAACAACCGTACGTTACGTTACGTCAATGCCACGTGTTAGTTCCCAAGAATGCGTACCCAACAATAAATTAATACCACCAATTAATTTTAATTTGAGAATTTCTAACGTCGACCTTTTTCGAAGCGTCATAATTTTTGCCTCGTCGAGGATGCACGATAAGAATTTTAATGAACCGATAAAAAAGAATGTTTACTCATTATTTCCGTTACGTAACGTTGAAAAAACTCAAATCTGCATCAATTGTGAATGACTRTGCTGACAGATGAATGAGTCTGGAGGAATTCCGGAAAGACAAAGGACATCAATAATGCACTAATTGGGACGGTTTTTGCCCTTGTTTCTCGAGGATTTGGGAAAATTTTCATGTGGGAATGTTGGGGGGATGCAAAATGTGGTTTAAAATACGAGACGGGTCAATTAAGTGGATGGGGGAAATTCGGTCGGCCATTCCGCTTATCGGATTACTTTATCTGTGGTATTTTTCAAACATAGRAAAGGTAAAAAAKAWCATTTGCGGCTAGAGGGCCGAAAAGTTTAGAACATGCTTTTATGCTAATAGATTTTGACCACAAAAGTTTTATTTCTATTTTATTTTTTTATATGCCTAGGGACATTGAAATTGTTACATAAAAGATTTAAGTTTTTATCTATTACAAGAAATATAATTAAGGGAGAAAAAGAGTGTGACCGGTCATTTATCATTAACATCTGGTTGAGTGTTTTCGAGGGCAGGTAAAGAAGTTGCAGTTGTTTAGATTGAGATAAGAGATACGAATTTAACAGCTGTTAGTTTTGTATTAAAAATCACACTATTAAAGACTGTAATGAAAAAGACACCTTATTTAAATTTTAGAGTTATTTGGTTATCAAAGAAAATGATTCGTACTCTCGCTATCAAAGTAGATATTTTGAAATAAACCATTTATTTAAACTTATATTTTTCTACTTGTTTAAGCATAACCAGTAATGTATTCAAAAAAAAAGAAAAAAACTGTACCTAGGTATAAATACTCCAATCAAAATTGAGAGAAAGTTGMTCAAAATTTTCCTTTACTTATAAAACTAATTAATTGGTAAAATACAAAATGAGTTAAAATGCTTCTCTCTAATAACACTGTTTTTTTTTAAGGAAGAATTTTGATAGTAAGATGTATTAGATTAATTGCTTTGTTCTGGCCTAAAAAGCTTCGGTAAACAAATTTTACACCTAAACAAACTTAATAAATATAAAAAAATTCAGTCATTATGGTAATAATTTTTTGTGATTAAAAACTAAAGAATTTTCAAATGTAGACACTCATGAATTTTTTAACAAACAAATTAAAGAAATTTGACAACAA